AAAAAGATTAAGGACGAGCACAACAAGGAATCAAATGTATGTTATTTCACTCTTAAGCTTATGCATGGCTTAATTGTCCAAAAACGTGTTAGAGCCACTCTTTTAAAGAACCAGAAATGACTTTGTGTTTTTAATCAGGGTCGGGTAGACTTTCTCAAACTCATGCTCCAGAATCAAATACCTGGTGATCATTTTGAGGACACAGATGAGCAACCAGCAAAAGGTTAGAGAGACAGTACAGAATTGACACATTATAGACTCTATCATTTCAAATGGGACTTGTTTTCAAATATGCTGTTTTGTGAATTTGATAGGACTAACAGACCACGAGATTCTCTCCCAGTCCCTCGTTTTCATTCTCGGAGGTTATGAGACGACAAGCACCACTCTCACTTACCTCCTCTATAATCTTGCAACTAATCCAGACTGCCTGGAAAAGCTGGTTGAGGAGATTGACACAAACTTCCCTCCTGATGTGAGCACACTGGCTTCTGCTTTGTTCATAGTTTTTGTCTAGAGAATCTAGCTTAAAGGGATAGTTCACCCAAAAATCAGGCCATCCAAGATGTAGATGAGTTTGTTTCTTCATCAGAACAGATTTGGGGGAATTTAGCATTACATCACTTGCTCACCAATGGATCTTCTGCAGTGAATGGGTGCCGTCAGAATGAGAGTTCAAACAGTTGATAAAAACACAATAATCCACATGAGTTCAGTCCATCAATTATGTCTTGTGAAGTAAAAAGCTGTGTTTCTCTAAGAAACAAATCCATGATTAAGATGTTTTAAAATTCAAACTGTTACTTTCAGCTAAAATACAAGTCCTCTGTCAATGATACTGCTTTTTCCAGTGTCTCATCTGAATGAAGACAGTTATGCACAGATCAAGCACCATTTACAAGAGTCAACAAAACTGTTTTAAACAAAAATGTTGGTTGGATTTTGGTGTGAGAGAACAACAGGGGATGGACTTTTTCACTGTAGGAAGCTTTGTTATGGATTATGGAGTAATTTGACCAGAGGGAATGGTTTAAAGTTGAGTGTGTTTAATTAGTTTAATGGTGAATGTGTTTCTTAACAACATGGCATTTCACTTTATAAGACATTAATTGATGAACTGGAGTCGTGTGGATTATTGTGATGTTTTTATCAGCT